ACATGGGAGATGATCTTCGTAGATGATTTAGTCAATTTTGGATGGAGAAGATAACATTTGTTGAGTTTAGGAATTAGGATATTTGTAATGTGAAAATTAGAATTGTTAATAGTTAAAAGAATGAATAATTGTACTTTTCATCCCTAAGTTAGAGAGTTATTGTAAAATTCATTTCTATTTATTAGTCATGCTCACTTCTTGTCCCTAAGATATAACTGAGGTTGCAAAATTCATCATCTTCTAATAGGTCGTGCTCACTTTTTATCCATAAACTATAATTGACGTTGTAAATTTTATTTCCAATATCTTATAAGAAAAATGGCAAAATTTACTATGTCAATTACTGTATAATTTAGAGACAAAAAATCAATATGATCAATAAGTAAGGACGAATCTTACCATTATCCTTTAGTTTAAAAATTTTACTTTCCCATAAAAGAAATACCTGCCACAAGTCTGCCGCGATTACAACTAGCGCTAGAAACACGTGTAATCTTCATAAAATAACGACTTTTGTCAAAAGGATAGTATGCCACCTTAAGGGCTAATTAATGGGTACTAGTACTATTGCAAATTTGCCATGCCATTTTAGTTAAGGAAGAAATTAAAACTACACTACTTGTCTTTATTTATTTATTTATTTTTTTTTGAAAAGTCACTACTTGTCTTTTAAATTATAAAAGAAAACTGCAATTTTTCCGTAAGACATTATTTAAACCAAAAAAAAAACAAAAAAAAAAAAAACAAAAAGAAAAAGAAAAAAAGAAAAGAAAGAGCATACAATCAACAAGCAACAATGCATATACATATGCATTAAGCCACACTGCTAGCTTGTTGCCGGCCTCCGCTAGTCTTCCTGAAAGCGATTGAAATTGAAAATTTGATAAGTATAATATTAAATTATTTAAATATATTTTCTATAATATTGATATATTTAATTTGTTAAATTAGATAATATCAAAAAAGTTTGAACTTATCAAAAAAAAATTATCCTACCGTTATAAATAAGACCTCTCAATTCTATGTATTGATGTTAGGAAAAATGATGTAAATATTGAAAATATTATTCAAAAATCACAATAAATGATCCTGAAAGTAAAAGCCCCTCCATGAAAATTATGTCAATCATGTTGATCCAAACCGCATTGAAGATTAAACCATTTGAACTCGGAGGTCCTTCAACGAAGAACAAACATATAAGCCCTTCTTTGAAGATCAAGTCACTTGAATTCCGAATGCCCTTCAGTGATGGAGTGTTCAAGACATCCAATTAAAGAATCAAAAGACTATACGGAGATCTTGTACTCATACCACATTTATACTCATTGTAAACTAGAATTTTGAATTTTAATATATAATTCTTATCAAGTAGCCCTCAAACCGTGCCATGACGTCGAGCTAATGTGGAAGGGTTCAGGCTGAAAATCCGACTACATAGTCCGTGATGAGCTCCTCGAGTTTGAGTTGAGCATAGGAGGCCGGTGTGATTTACGCTAGATGCCTCGTTAAAAAATCTTAGACTAAGAAAAATTCAGTGAGAAAAAAACTTAGCTAATGAAAAAGAGTACAATCATGAGTGCAATCTTTTGGACTATCGAGAGAACAAATTTATTGTGTTCTAGAGATCCAACTTTACCAATCAAGGGATTGAATTTACTCATGATCTAGGGATCAAATTTACTGTGATCTAGCAATCGAATTTTATGAGTCAAGAGATTGGAATTATTCATGATCTAGAGATCGAATTTACTACGATCTAGCGATCAAGTTTAATTTTACCAATCAAGAGATTGGATTTATTAACGATCTAGGGATCGAATTTTATCAATCAAGAGATTGAATTTTAGTCTGATCTAGTGATCAAATTTACCCCCTTCCACTTGATCGGTTTAACAACCTACTTTGTAGGACCTAAGGCGATATCTGATCTTGAACTTAGTTGCCTACTTTGTAGGACTTATGCCGAGATCTGATCCCATACTTAATTGCCTACTTTGTAAGGCTTATTTCGAGATATGATCCGATACTTAATTGCCTACTTTGTAAGGCTTATTTCGAGATCTGATCCCCGAATTAATTAACTACTTTGTAGGACTTATGTTGAAATCTGATCCCAGACTTTATTACCTACTTTGTAGGACATATGTCGAGATATGATCCCGAATTAATGGTCTATTTTGTAGGACTTATGTTGAGATCTGATCTCAAAAACTTTATAAACTCAAAAACATTGAACCGCATGATCACAGCTTCGAACAAGGGGACTCGAGCTTGTTGCGTTTTTTAATCTTGAAATCCTTTGTATTGTTTCCATTTTTATTTCTTCCCCACCTTTTTTTTTGTGTGCCTTCTTTCTCTTCCTACGAAACACACTCAAACACCACCCACTTCCTTGAATCTCCATGAATCAATTCCGGCCATCTTACCGAATGGGGATTATTTCTTCCAATCGGTTTATTACGAGGAAAACCCGTGGTTTTGTGTTGAATGAAAGAGTAATTAATGATCATTATAATTTAGACGAGTTATATTATACGTACTTTCAAATTCTATTCCCTTACTTATATTTTTTAAAGTGACAAATTAGAGTTGATCATTTTTATCATAAATTCACAAAAAAATATTATATTAAAAAACATGTGAGAGGGTATAACTTGGGAATAAAAAGTGGGAGTCTCACACCTAAGATCAAAGAAGCCCATGTTTTCGAATGGGCATGGCAGTGATGACACGTTGCATTCTATTGGAAATGACAACCCATTAACTTCTTTTGTATTTCCCCAATTCCAAACCCACTTTCTCTTCTTCCTAAACCCATTTCTTTCTTTCTCCCTGCATCTTCTTGCACTTTCTTTTGTTTTCTTCCTTTTTTTTTTTTTTCTTTCTCTTCTGCCGACAGCCCCTCACTTTAATTTCTTTTCTTTATTTTTCTTTCATCTTCTTCTCTATCCCAGCTTCGCCGGATGTTCGTTGCCGGAAAGATCATCATCAAGCTTCGCCACCGTGCTGCGCCTCCGTCAAACTCGCCAGGAAGATCCAGTCGCTGCTTCGCCGGAAGAAGAGGAACACGACTTTTCGTCGGAAGAAGAGGGACACGGCTTTTCGTCGGATCCCCACAGACGGCGCCATTTAATAGAACAAATTATTCTTGAATGAAATAGCAATCTCTAAATAATAGAGAGAAGATGAGAGAAAATGCAAGCTGATTGCACTTAAGTGTTGTATTGAGTGTGGAGTGTTGAATGGATCCCCTTGCCCTGAAGGGTTAGGGGCCTTTATATAGGTGAAAGTTTGCCCTTCAGGAATAAAATATTTTTTAAGTATATTCAACCTTGATATAAAGGAATAAAGTTCAAATTGGCCACTGAATGTAACCTGAAAATGCAATTAGGCAACTGAACGAACAAAAAGTGCAATTAGGTCACTGAACACTCCAAAAACATACAATTAGGTCACTGAACTCTCCAAACGTATGCAATTTCACCAAATAGCAGGTTACCATCAATTTTAGTAGGTTACCTGCTTACGTGGCAGCTGAGTTGGCATTTTTAATAATTTTAAAATAATTTTTAATGATTAATTTTAATAATAAAATTTATAAAAAATTGAAAAAAATTAAATAAAAAATAAAATAAAGTCATTTTTATTTTTTTTTTAAATTTTTTTAAATAAAAATTTATTATTAAAATTTATTAAAAATGATTTAAAATTTATTAAAATGGCCAACTCAGCTGCCACGTAAGCAGATAACCTGCTAAAATTGAGGGTAACCTGCTATCAGGTGAAATTGCACATTTTTTGAGTGTTCAGTGGCCTAATTGCACTTTTTTTCGTTCAGTGACCTAATTGCACTACAAGAAAAATGCACATAGACAACGGTTAATAACCGTTGTCGTAGGGGTATAATTTCTGTTGTTGAAGCCGGTGTTGTTGTAAGTCCCGCGCATAGACAACGGTTTTTTAACCGTTGTCTTTTCTAGAAACAACAACGGTTTTTTAACCGTTGTCTATTAAGTGTTGTTGAAGCCGGTGTTGTTGTAAGTCACACACATAGACAACGGTTAATAACCGTTGTCTTTTCTAGAAACGACAACGGTTTTTTAACCGTTGTCTATTAAGTGTTGTTGAAACCGGTGTTGTTAAAAGTCACGCACATAGACAACGGTTATTAACCGTTGTCTTTTCTACCAACGACAACTGTTTTTTAACCGTTGTCTATTAAATGTTGTTGAAACCGGTGTTGTTAAAAGTCACGCACATAGACAACGGTTATTAACCGTTGTCTTTTCTACCAACGACAACGGTTTTTTAACCGTTGTCTATTAAGTGTTGTTGAAATCGGTGTTGTTAAAAGTCACGCACATAGACAACGGTTAACCGTTGTCTTTTCTACCAACGACAACGGTTTTTGACCCGTTGTCTATTCAATGTTGTTGAAACCGATGTTGTTAAAAGTGATGCACATAGACAACGGCTTTTAACTGTTGTCTATTGTGTGTTGTTGAAATCGCTGTTGTTAAAAGTCACGCCAATAAACTGTTGTCTTTTGTAAAAAAGACAACAGTTTCAACTGTTGTCTATTGTACAAAAGCCAACAGTTTCAAACTGTTGTCTATTGTAAAATAGACAACGGTTTTTAACCGTTATCTTAACGGTTTTTAACCGTTTTTAACCTGCTTAAATTTTAATCATATAAAAAATCAATTTATCCATTCACCATGGCCAAGTGTAGTTACATAATTTTGCACAAGCTAAGGTTCAAAATAACAAGTCTAAATACTTCCATGACCAATTCTAATCGAATCATATATCATCCAAGTCATAATACTACAAAAAACAATTCCACGAACCAAGTCTAAATGATCACAACGTTCTAATGATCAAATCATACCTACTCTAATATCTTCATAGAATATCGGCTCATTCAGAACGCACCAGATCAATAATTGCTTTGTCACCCTCAATCTGCAATAAAAGAGTAGGCATTTATAAAGAGCACAATCCTTAAGTGCTTCTATAAAGAGGAAAATTTAAGAGACTTGAGATTACAATAATTATATCACTTGCTCCCGTTATATCATCCAATCCATACAATATCCTTTCAGTGTCACTTTCCTAAAAGTAACAATGGCACAACAATAAGAGATTAGTAACGTAACACTGTGCCAAAAAACAAAATAAAAAGCAAATGATATTCATAGTTTAGAATCAAAAGCATCAAGAACAATAAATAGAAGAAAATCTTAAAATGAAAAATCTGAATAGTAGTCACCACTTTTTATAATGAAAGAATTAAGAGGGAATTTCCCCAACTCAAAGGTGAAGAGGTTAGCCTTACAGATAAGACACAATAAGGGTTGAATCAATAAATGTGGATAATAATCATAATATGAATAATGTGTGAATGCAGCTAGTGGAGTTTAGAAAATAAACTGTAGCACTATATCAAGCTTTAAAATCAATGTGTTTCTTAGCTAAAGAAATGGTATTGACAAGCACCTGCCAAAATCTTTTTCTTTTGTTTATATCCCGGTATTTGCAGCTTACAATTTCGCCATTCCTCCGATAAGGAAATGCAATAACAATCTGTATCAACAGAACTTTCAGAAAAGTTAGCCTGGGAAACATTGAATTCATCATATCCGTATGAAAAACCAGCTATGGTAAGATGAGGTAATTAGACTATTAGAGCTTACAATATTTCTCTAATATGGGACAAGCCTTTACTAGTTCATTAAGGAGTTTGATCACTTTAAAGATTAAGAGGATGAGGGTGGTTTCACAAAAGAAGAGAAGAACATTTAAAGAAACACAAATTTGCCATACAAAATCAGACTTGCCAGAAGAGCAGCTGTCAAGCAGCCTTGTATATAAAGCCCTTGGTGAAATTTCCAAATGATTAAAATGGTCCAAGAGCCAATGGTGAAAGGTTCAAGAGCCTAATGAATTGCAAAGTATAGCCTAAAATAGGAACACAAAACTGAAAATTAGGTAATTCAAAGGGAAAAGTTTGAGAACTGATGATAAAGTTAAGGATCAATTATAGTTGATCAAAAACATAAATACACAACAATCAACTTTACATAGTGAAGAAATAAGGGTTGGTTGGGAAAAGTATATCTACTAGGTAAACATGTTTTTTAATATGTAAAGTTAAGTGTTGTTTATATGTACTTTAGCAACCATTTTTGCAAGAAATATAATGCTAATGGCTAAAAAAAAAAATTTATTTATTGAACTTATAGGTGCATAATATATTTAAATCTAAAAAGATAATCTAAACATACTTGGAAACGTATATATTTTGTCTCTTTACGTTCCAAGTCCTTGAGAAGAACCTTTTGCTCCTACTTTGGCAAATCTAAGCTTGCCAACTTCTGCTCTAGAAATGAGCGCCTGCAGTTTGTAGAATAGAAAGCATCTGAATACTTCAACAAAGCATCTGACAATTTGTTTGATATTATGGTCCACCTTCTGGGAAAGCTAACTAAATCTAGAAAATACTTCTATCTCAATCCAAGCTAACATATGGGAATGCTGTAACTTCATATCAAAATTATTCATCCACCAGCAATTAAGTGGACATGAGGAAAAATCAAACAGTTCATTTTACAAGGCATATAATGTACAACTGCATCACCACTAAATCATTCAATCAGCTTGTGTCCTGTTTATATTGAATGCAGATTTGGACACCCATTATGAATGTTCATCTTTGCAGTGACAATTTCCATGACAACAACCTCATAGGAGGTATGAGCTCATCCTGTATGGCTGTATATATGAGTGCCTGCTATAGACTACCATTCCAAGACAATGACAAACTTCCCTACAAACACTCATATGACTTGTGTTCCACTCACAGACTCATAAATTTTCAAATGATGCAAGCACAACAAGGATTCAAATACTAATATAATGTAGACTCCCTCACCACAGAATAACATTTAGAGCATTTTATTAGAACTAAAGGTTTACAACTTTTCCAACATTGAACTTGAAACTCAAGTAAAGAAGGAAGGAGAAAGCATTTTTTTAGCTTTAAATCTTTAATCCGAGGCATAATTTCACTAAAGCACAAGAAACGAACGTATCAACAAGACTCCACTATATGCATGATTAAACTAAGTTGAATATCAAGAAAATGCAATTACCTGAACTCACCAGAACTTGATTTGGTGCAGGAGCAGCTCCCATTCGTGTATCCATTTCAACTTTTCCTTAAACATGCAAAGTGTTTCACTAAGTAAGGAAAGCATAATACTAGACATGCAATGATTGGTTTGGTAGTGAGAATCCCTCAGAACTTAGCTTGTTTATTTACCTCAGAAATTGAAGTTCTCTTTCAAGTAACACACCATCTCTTTCAAGTTACTCATGTGCATAAGTAAGATTATAGAACTCCTTTGCAAGGTGGATACGGTTCCACAACATAACAATTTCTATACAATCAATGCAGCCTAATTAACATCACATAATAGAAGATCTTTTAACACACATATAATTAAATTTGCTTAAGAAATATGAATTAATCTTGTTCATCATTGCAAAAACAGAAGCAAAACCTTAAAAATTAAAGCAGATTAAAACAATATGAGACTAGCCCAGATTTTATCCAAATGCAAAATTCAAAAGCAAATCAAAGCAACAACAATTCACACAAACAAATCTTTTAAAGAAATTGAGACCTTTTCTTTAACCACAAAGAGTGAAACCTAAATAGCATGCATATAACAGAGCTGTATAGAAGGAAGATTAGACTGGAATGAAAAAAAAAACAGAAAGACAAGCAAGATTAGACTTACAATGAGGCCTGTGCACTTAACAGAGAGCTGTAGAAGGAAGAGCGGCGGCGGCGAGTGTGACTGAGGCTGAGGCTGTGGCTGTCGGCCGTCGTCGTCGGCGAAGGAAGAGCGGCGGCAGGAGGTCTCGGAAATGAGAGGGCGAGATGAAGGGCGGCGGCGAGTGTGGCTGAGGCTGAGGCGGTGGCTGTTGGTTGTCGTCGTCGGCAGAGGGATGGCAGCGAAGAACTCTCCTGATCGGCGAAATGAAATTTTGGAATATTGGGGGTAGAACTCTCTTGATCGAGGAATAAAATGGGGCGAAATGAAAATTTTCTAAGTTTGGGCGGGTAGGGCTAAATTTTGGGTTGATTTTTCGCGCTCTCTAATAAAATAATAATAAATTTTTTGCGGCATCCGGAACGACCCAATTAAACCGGACAATATAGATATAGAACAGGGTAAGAAAATATTAGTTTTATTACCCAGGTCACTAGACCCAATTAAAATAGTACCGGGTATATAGGTACAGAACGCGAGATTCACAGATTTCTATACTGTAGATTCATAAAATCTTTACTCTAGATTCATAATTTCTAAAGCGTAGATTCATAATTTAAATACGTAGATTCATAATTTCTATGCAATAGATTCATAATTTCTATACTACAGATTCATAATTTCTGTATTGTTGATTCATAATTTCTAAACTGTATAGTTATCAAATTATGAACATATAGTTTTGTGATTTGTAAATACAGAGTTCAACAATTGGGAATATGAACATCGAAAATTATGAACATAAAGTTTTGTAATTGTGAATATATAGTTCAATCATTATGAATATGAATTTCAAAAATTATGAATATATAGTTCGGTAATTATGAACATAGAACAGTGTGCATCATGCATGGTGCACACGGTTGCACAGCATAATTTGTCATTTATTACCCGGAGGTTTATTACCCAGACAGCTGGCGGCCCAATTATATTACAAAGATCGCGACAAAAGAAATGGGATATAGCTCTATGTTCATTATAGGAGCATATGTTCATAATTCCGTAACTGTACATTCATAATTCAATAACTATAAAGTCATAATTTTCGAAGCTCTATATATTCACAATTTTATAGCTCTATGTTCATAATTTTATCACTATATGTTCATAATGTCAGAGCTCTGTGTTCATAATTCCATAATTGTACATTCATAATTCCATATTTGTACATTCATATATAATTCCATAACTGTACATTCATAAAGTCATAACTATACATTCATAATCCCACAAATTAATAACACCGTTAACGGCGAGACAAAATCAAAGTTCCCTGAAAACGACGTCGTACGTTTTGGACTCGTGTTCACAATGCATTGTTCAGCTATTATGAACATAGAACAGTTGCCCAGCATAATTTGCCCTTTAATACCCCGAGGTTTATTACCGACAACTCGCGGCCCAATTATATTACAAAGCTAAGATCATGGCAAAAGAAATGGGATATAGCTAACCAATCGTTATGCTATGGACCCGTGTCCACACTGTAGTGTGGACACGGTAACGGTGCCGTTAGTGGACTTTGATCAATGTACGACATAATTTGTGATAGCTAACTGTACGGCATCGATCAACTACTATTTCATATTCATTTTCCACGTGTCTCAATTTTGGGTGCCCAAATTTTTTTTAAAAAATATTATAGATATAATCTATTGTTTTTTATACTTGATATTTTTATTTTTTTTTTGAATTCATAGATTGGTCTTAATTATAATATGAAAATAAAACTTTAATGAATTGACTTTGAAATTTTGGTGAATAATTTTATATTTAAATATGAACAAAAATATAACTATTAAATTAACTTTTGAATTGTATTCTTTATTTGTTAAATTTTTATGCAATATATTTGGACAAAAAAATTTAATTACATTTTTATTCTTGTTAACACTCAGGATATAATAGCTAAAAGATAAGGTGTAACACTTTAGTACACAAGAGTTGGTGTGGTTTGGTGGATTTGGCTTTGTTTGTTATGTTAAAGGTTTTGGGTTCTATCTTTTGTGGTGGCATCCTTAACCTATTTTATACAATCATTGTCTTGGGTCTCAAAGACAACACATAAGAAAATTGGTTATATCAAGTATATATATTAGTTTACTTGAGTACAGAAGTGTTGATTTGGTTTGGTGGGTTTAGCTTAGTTTATTATGTTAGAGGTCTTGGGTTCTATTCTTTCTAAGGGATCCTTTAATTATTTTCTAAAATTGTTGTCTTGGTTTTCACAAACAACACAGAAGCAACCCAGTTATATACTAAATGTTGCACATTCAAACACAAGAGTTTATGTTGCTTAGTTGGTTAAACCTTATTTGTTAAGTTTGAGGTTAAAGGTTTGACTCTTGTTATTAACATCCTTATCTTTGCTTTATACAACTCATTAAATAATGATGTGCAAAAACAACGATTTTTATAACCGTTGTATTTGTAGTGTTGTGTATTCAAATACGCTTAAAGACAACATACCAAAGACAACGGTTAAATAAAACCGTTGTCTTAAACAAATAAAGAACGCGCAACGACAACGGTTTTATATAACCGTTGTCGTTGTAGTGTTGTGTATTCAAGTGCTATTAAAGACAACACATAAATGACAACGGTTAAATAAAACCGTTGTCTTTTATAAAATAATATTGCGCAAAGACAACGATTTTTTATAACTGTTGTCTTTGTAGTGTTGTGTGTTCAAATACGCTTAAAGACAACATACCAAAGACAACGGTTAAATAAAACTATTGTCTTAAACAAATAAAGAACGCGCAACGACAACGGTTATATAAAACTGTTGTCGTTGTAGTGTTGTGTATTCAAGTGCTATTAAAGACAACACATAAATGACAACAGTTAAATAAAACCGTTGTCTTTTAAAAAATAATAATGCGCAAAGACAACGGTTTAAAAAAACCGTTGTCTTTGTAGCGTTGTGTATTCTAGTGCGCTTAAAGACAACACACCAACGACAACGGTTAAATAAAACCGTTGTCTTTGTTAAAAAAAAAGAGCGCACAAAGACAACGGTTTTAAACAACCGTTGTCTTTCTAGTGTTGTGTATTCTAATGCTCTTAAAGACAACACACCAACGACAACGGTTAAAAAAACCGTTGTCTTTTTTAAAAAAAAAAAACGCACATAGACAACGGTTTTAAAAAACCGTTGTCGTTGTAGTGTTGTCTTTTCACAAAATGCACAAAGACAACACACTTATAACAACGGTTAAGTAAAAACCGTTGTCTTTGACAAAAGTGTTGCATCAAAGACAACGGTTTTGGACCAAACTGTTGTCTTTTATACAAAAGACAACACTTTTCTTAAAAACTGTTGTCTTTCTAGTGTTGTCTATG